GTTTTGGAAAATGAATGATGTTTTGCCTTCTGGCCTATTTGCCTATAGATCAAGTAACAGTTTCAGCTCTGTCAAGAACATCTGTCTGGGAAAGCTGACAAAGAAACCCATAAATGCAAAATAGCCACGTGGATGTAAAGGTTCCTACTTGTTCTTTTAGACATGACAGCTGTAAATAGGCTCTTGCCCATTTTTGCATTCATCTGACTGCTCTTTTCATGATGACGCCATGAAGATTTTTCCAAATGGGAAAGCAGGGAAACAGCTGGATGGCAAGGAGTGGTATTGCTCTTGTGGGCCTAGCCAGACATCTATAGACTCTTTTAAACAAGTTGGTTCACATGGGTCTATAAGAGGCAGAGTTTTTGTCTCTGCACCACAAGGAGAAAGTGCACCACAAAGAAATAAGTAATGTTTGAGCCATTTGTAGAGGAGACATCACTGTTTCCTCAGTCCCCATTAAGCACTGAGCATCTCTCAGCACTGAGCTGGGATTTTCAGTCCTGCCTGAACACTCAGCTTGCAGAGTTAATGAGTTCTTGTAACTCCTCATTTCTGAGTCTGTGATATTTGCTTTGGGAGCTGTGGGCCATGGAAGAATCAGTCCTTTTCTCTCCCATTTGCTGTGGACAGGTGTGAACGGCGCTTCAGTGGTTCCACAGCCTGACGTAGCTTGGGATGCTCAGAATTAATGCCCAGCATGGTCTGACCTCCTTCAGCCTTTATTTAACCGAGTGTTTGATGTCAGAGCCTTGCCATGCTCTGTGCACTCTGCTCCATCATTTGGTGCAGTTATGGCTTGCCAGAGGTTTGGGATTTGCATTCCCCTTTCAAGCACCAGACATAAGCCTCAACAATGGAGAGGGATGTAGAGGGCAGAATGGGAAAGGCCTCACCTGATGAAAACTGGGAGGCAAGTCTGTGCACAGCAGAAGCACTTTTCTCCTTTCCAAGAGCTGGCCTCTTCTTCCTTCTTTACCCCGACACAGGGAATGGGAAAGGAGGAGAGGAAACCTCCTCAGTCAGGGCTTGAGGCCCCGGTGAGAAGGGAATTCCTTGTGGAATATATAACTCAGAGACTTCCAGTACCTTGTTTCAGCAAACAGGCTGTAGTTAAGGACAGTATCCCCCTTAACAAAGGCTACCTCATTATGCTACTATGGAATTAAAAATAAAAACATATGCCTGAAAAGATACAGACAGAACATAAAAACCACCTTACCTGAAAACTCAAGAGATTCAGTGCAACAAATAAATATATTTATTCTTACTTTTTTTTTTTTTTAACAACAGCAGCAGAATAATTGCAAATAGGTTTTTTTTTTGCCAAGTATGTACTTTGCTTATTGATTTTTGCATCCAGGGTGATCTACAGCTACAGCCTAGTTTTGTATTTCTTTTTCAATCTGGTTCCTCCTAGGATAGTGACTAAGTATTCAGAGCTATTAAAGACTTATTAGGTGTGTAACACAGCAAACTACTTCACAGTCATAAACATAATCCCTAAAGCAAACACACAGAAAGACTGTTTTGTTCATAGCTGCAGTAGAGAAGAAGCCTCTATTTTTCTTTTCGGCATCTTTGCTGTTTCAAAGTGGACTGTGTTTTCCACTGTTACCCTTTCAAAAAAAGCATTTATAAAAATTACTTAATAAAAACATACTCTCATATTTCAACAGTTTTTATGCCAGTTTCTCAATGACTATTCTAGAAAAGTCAGTTTGTTCAACCTAAATATAAGAAGAAGGTCAAGTATGGAAAATCAAGAGTAAGAAAACCTCACAGTAGAATTAAGTGTGTCTGTAGCATGTAGTGGTTAGTTGTAAAGAAATGAAGAAATGAAAAGGCTTCCCTAGAAGTTGTAGAGCTACATAGCTAATATCTTTATATAGCAGGTGTGTTTTCTACCAGAGCCTTGATTTTTATTACTTTATATTTTTTAAATAACTTAAAATAATAATGAGTTTGCCTGCCAGCAGCCAACTCAAAAACACATTGGAAAAAGAGAAAAAACCCAGCCACCATTACAGTGGTAGGGAGAAATTCTCCTCAGCAGCCAATTTTTGTGTCCAGTCCTTTCCCTTCTTAGCAATCCCAAAGTTCTGGGATATATTCAGCTTATTAGGAATGAGAGCCCTCCAATGCAGACTTGGGTTTCACTGAAAGGAATGGTGAACATTTCCCCTCTGTAGCCTCCTGTGAGTCCTTGTAGCAGCAAGCTGCAGCAAAAGGAAAGGAAAGAATATTCCATCCAGGTGTGAAATGATTCATAGGCAGTATCTGAGATCTTCAAAGGATTCTCAATCAATACTTCAGCCTGAATCCCAGATGAGTGGGCTGTGATTTTATCTCATCTGTCAGATGAGAGAAGCTGCCTGTTTGTTCTTGAATTAACTCCTTTCATCTTTGCTGCCACAATATTGCGACTGACTGCACATCTTTCATCACTCTGAGTGCCACTCAGTGCACAGAAAAATAAACCAAGCCATGGCCTTTGGCAATCCACGTAACACAGCAACAGCAGACATGGCGTGCTCTAGACTCTGCCCAGAAGCGCTGATCTGAAAGGCAGAGGGAATGCAAATGGGTAAAGACAATCACTAGAATGATGTAAATCTTCTCACAGTGACTATGAGAAGGAAGCTGTGAAACTGAGATTCCAGTTACTACAGGTTTTCATCTTGTCACCCTGTGTAATGTGGAATGTCTGTGCCCTGATGTAACTCTCTTCCTGTCTTCTCAAAATGAGTGGAATCAATCAGGTGGAATTGTTACATCCCCCGCCTCAATGGTTCATGTATTCTTCCATGATTAGTAAAATCAAAGAGCTGGTGAGGCTGCAGTCTAATAGCAGTAGAAGAAAAGCCAAAAATATGACTTTGTTGAATATTTTCCCCCAGCCTGAACTCTAAATTGTTAACTGGTTTCATTGATGCATTTGCCCCAAAGTGATCTTTAGGCAAACCTCAGCCTTGTCTGGAAGGCTGATGCAGAAAGGGCTGCAGAAGCTGTGAAAACATCTGTGTGGAATCCAGAGTGCTCTGTAGAGAACTTGTGAGGAAGTGGGGATTTCTTGGAGTTTAAAAAGTACTTTCTTCCTTCACTGAGTAACACGAGAAATTAAAATACAAAATTACTTATTCTAATTCCCATTTCCTAAGGGAAAGAAGAACCAAGAGGGTTTAAGATAAAGACTGATTGTTCTATTTTTTCCAAGAGTCCAAGAGATTGGGAGGGGTTCTGGGGATTTACAACCATGCTGTAGCCCATATGTTGAAACATGTAACACACCATTTGGTTTTAACTGCTTGATGCTTGCTCTGTATCCCATTCTATTTATTTATTGATCTGGGTAACCTCTGACACAAACCTTAGTGTCTTCCATCTGTCCTTTTCAATGTGGTTCTCAGGACCTTCACTTTCATAGGAAGCCAAGTAAAGTGCTGCAATCAGAAGCAAATACATTATGTTAGGCCTACTGGCATTTTAGAATTTGCTCTCCCTGCAAAGCAGACTGAGTTAAATGGAGCAGGCATGTATTATCCATCCCTCAGTTAAGGGCTTCAGAATCCCATTAGGAAGTATAGCATTGCTTATAATTGCACCCAGACAATGCTAACAAACTGTGCATGAGAACAAAGACTACCCTGAGGGGAGAAAAAAGCAACCAGTGGAAACTCAAAAGCATGAGGAGAAGAAAGCACTCAGGAGAAAACAAAATGAGCCCAGAGACATGGTGCTTTGTAAGTAGCCAGTGAAGTCCCTATTTTCTTCCTTAAGCATCACCCTTTAGTGCAAAGCATCCTGAAAGTCACATAAATACATTTCATGTGACATTTACAGGGACCACATCAATTTAATTCATTCTATTTCAGAACCAATGTTGATTCTCACAGACTATATGCACACAAAAGAAAAACCTTATCTTCTCTGTCATTTGTGAGGGAGGAACATTTTTCACTTGCCAGAGATGTCCTCAGGATATCTTTCCTTACTGTGAGGAAGCCACAAATTAGAAGAGACTGAGCAGTAGCCAGTGACACTATCCCTGCAGAAGTCCAGAGCTCCTTACCATCATCACTGAAGACTGGGACAGAGAGCAAGTACTGTAGAATTTTCCAATCCCTTTCAAAAGGGCACTCCACTTGCTTCCATGTCATAAATTCACTGACTTGTTTTGCCAATTCCCAAAATTTCTGTCAGAATACAAAGCAGAAGAGGTGCTATATATTGAACAGCATTACTTACCCTGAACATTTCTTTAAAAAGAGGGAGAGATCTTAGTTTGGAGACCAAGGCTTTGATTGCCCTTGGCTCTTAAAATAGAATTGAATATGATCTAACTCAACAGCTCAGCTCCTAACTTTTGTGTTCCTGTTTTAAGCTATGGTAACTTCCCACTCCTTCACCTTGTTAAAATTGCTGTTGTGAATATAAATATAGTAGATTATGAAGTGCACTTAATTTTTTTTTCAAGGTGCTGGTAACACTCCTTATGCCCAAATTTTAACTTCATTGATGCTTATGCTTTTTGTTTTGCAATTAAATACATAGTGATTTTCACATCAGATGCTTAATACTGACATTTCAAAATCCAGATGTTTCCTGTCAGTTAGCAAATATGAAATGCTCTATTTTCTTGCTGGAAATGTATGCCAAAAATAAACACTCCCCATGTAGTGTGCTGATGCCATTAATTGATAAACTCTTTCAGTTAAAGCTTAACATGACACAAGTGCACATGGATTCCTTGAGCAAAAGGGCATTTCACAGCTTAGTTTTAGAACCTTTAGGCTAATTCAGGCCTGTGACTACCACCGAAATATACTGTACTTTTGTGTGTATGACCCAGGCTTCTTGAAAACTGAAAGTACCAGGCAACAATCACTGGGTAACTCACCATGTGCCAGGTAACAAGCATGAAATCAGAGGCAGAAAAACTACTGGAAGACAAGAGAGTCAAAACTCCCTTGCTGCTGCTCTATCCCATATTTCTTCAGAGACAATCTGGAACTCGCATGAAAATGCCGTCTATATATCTTGATAAAGGAGGAACTTGCTTTTTATGTGAGGAATTAAAAGATAATACCCTAAAATACTAATCTGAACATTTTGTCATTAATTATAACAAACCTGTGAATTGAAATGTTGAGATGAATTTGAGCACTGGGAAGAAGTTCTGACTTTCCCCCCACCCCCACTAAAAAAAACTGGGAATATTGAAAGTTTCTATAAACACTCCATGTTCGATAAAATTGCTTTTTCCTGACTACTTCCCAGGTCCTCTGACCAATAACAAATATTCTCAAATTCCAGTCTATGTGTGCTCTCCCAGAATCCAGTGGAAATTGGATTGTGATCTGCTTCAGTTTTCTGTTAAAGGGGCTGACCCTGCATTAAACCCCCACTCAGTGCTCTACTTACCTCAAAATTGACGTGACCATTGGGAAGGCGATTGGCACAGCCCTCATTGAGGAAGTAAATATCTTTGATCAGGAGGCTGAAGAAAGGTATCACGATCTAGGGAGAGAGCAGCATTATTATCAGTCTGGTCCTGAATCAAGACACAATGGTCTACAGAGAAAAATGAAAGGAAGTCAGGTGATACAAAAGGTAAGCAAAATACAGAAGGACTAAGGATTCTACATCTTTACACAAAAACTTTAAAAAACAAGTCTCTTCACAAAGTCCTCCATTTCTATGTCATGTCCTTCTTGTTTTCATTTTTTTCCTTCTTCCTTGCAGATTCCAGAAGATAAATGGTCAGAGGCACCTACTTCTTACAAGTAATTCCTGCAGGGTACCTTGTAGTGTAGCTTTCCCTCTTGACAAGACTTGCTTGGTAAACAAGGGGAGATGCACATTGAAGCATGGCAGGGGATATTGGGGTGGCAGCACAAATGGTTTTCAAGCTACAATTCCCCGAGTTTATGCAAGTCATGGAACCTTGGTACTGACTGGCTTAAAATTAAGCATTTGCTGCCAAATGGACAAAGTATCTGAAGAATGCTGGAGAATTTTACTTTCTTAAAATGGTTCTATTTTAATTTACATCCTATGGAAGTTTTTACAGCTACAAATCCTTGTTACATGTGGGAATTAAAAAAAATACCACTTATTATTTCCATGGAACACTTCACTGCACCATATTTCAATATCTCTAAGTTCTTTCTTTGAAATCTTAAAAATGACTTCTCTTTAAAAATAAGTAAGCCTCTTACATTTAAACTTCTGGTGTTTTGAATGATATGTGAACAGATTCTTAGGACTCAGAAAGACATTCAATGTATAACAACAGTGTAGATCAGCAGACTGCATGTGGTTTTGCTTCATCTGCCTGGTAGTTTGTTCCATGAACTCCAAGATCAGGAGTTGATGAGCAACTGCTTCCAAGTGGAGAGCAGTTAGGAAGCTATTTCATTCCTTTCCACAAGAACTACCACTGAGATTCTGCATCTAAAGACTAAATACAGGAAGGGAACGCCACAGCTCTATCTAGATCTGAGGTTTGGAATACCTTTTATGAGTAAGTTTTAAAACCTTTCCACCTTAAGCCACGAATTACTGAAAGTTTAGCAGAAGTAGCAGCTATAAGAACAAATTACTAGCAATCTCATGTCAATCCTTAGCCTTTCTGTTTGTGGTATGGGTTTGTGAGATAGAGGTGTCTGTCAAACAGAAATGAGCTGAGGCAACGTCCTTCTTTTTCTTAAATAATAAAAGTGATCATTTAACGTTTAGACTTTCAGTCAGCACCAAACTGATCTGGCAGCTTTTTATAAGCCTGCCAGGGGTAGAGTTGCTGACAATCAGAATTCCAGGATAAAGTTTTACCATGCAACATAACAAGCACATTTGCCTTTTGCCCACTGCCAAGTCATTTGCAAACACACCTTCTCCCTGTTGCTGTGAGCTGTCAGGGACCTCTGAGTGGCTCCACGCAGAGCAGTTCGGTAATTATAAAAATTGCTGGAAGGGTCCATCTGATGCTGCAAGGCATGAAAATATGCAAATAATGAGGTACACACAATCCTTTTTCAACTGAGCAACTCTTAAATAGGAAAAGGTCTTCTGAACAGCCCCACAAATGCAGCTTTGTAGAGGACTGTGGTATTGCTCTGTCTGTTGGTTTGGTCAGAAGAGAACCTTATTTTTAAAAATGTCCATTCAGCACAACAAGGGACCCAATACATTCTCTTGGACAAATAACAAACTCATATAATGTTGCACCTGCATGACCTTTGACAAAGGTCAGCTGGACAAAATCTATTAAAAGCACAAATATACTATATTAAATGTCATAATGAAGTCAAACTCACATTTTTGAGCAGTTAAAAGTATCATGGTATTAACTGCCTCCTGTCCAAATATTAGCCAGACTTACCTCAAGGATATCAAATTTGGCTGTCTTCACTTTTGCCCAGGTTTTCTTTAATCGAGACACAGGACTCATGTTCATGCCAGCTTGATATAAAAGAAAGAGGTTGTTGGAATATTTAAAAGAGAGATCTTTCAGGTAGTTTGGACCAGTAAGTATTTAGAAAGCAAAGAATCTATTTATTACCAATAACAAGTATTTTCAATGAAGCTACTCAAGAAATCAGAGTCACTGTTTTCTTTAAATTCCAAAATAACCTTGGAAACAAAATCTTCATCTCTTGCAGAATGAAAGCTCTAAAAAAATGCTATGACATTATTTAATGTGGATTTGATAAAACACATATGTACAACAGAAAAGTTAAAATGAGTGTTCTGAACACCATCTCTTACATAATTCATTGAAAAAACTAGACCTAACTATGAAGTTTTCACCTTTCAAATGAAAAAAAAAAAAATTCCCAGTATTTTCCTACCAGATATAGAGGTATGGAATTTTTAAACCACTAGGATGTGACAGAAATGATGGAAGACATTTCAATTCTCCATATTACAGGGAAAGCTAATATTCCAATTTAGCGCTGAAGTTGGTTTAAAAAAGTGGGGATTGAGGTCTCTGAAGAGTTGCAAAGAAAACTTTGGTTTATACGAACTTTATAGTACACAGATAGCACTACAACAGTGTCGAGCAGCTTCATGGTGCTGACCAAGCTCAGCAGTGGATTTCTGTGTGAAGCACTCTGCTTCCTTTATCCAGATTAAAACAGGGATAAAATAATATCTCAGTACACATACTTACAAATAATAGCCATTAAGGAATTGAAGTTGCCAATGTTAAAACATTCCCGTGCCACATCGATGAAATATTCTATCACTCTTGCTCTGTACTTCTTCTTCACAGGCTGCAAGAGATGCAATTGTAGGGTTATGCTCAGCAGGAAACAGCACTCAGACACGTCCCCAAAGAAATAAGACCCCTGTTAAAAGTCTTTTCCATATGTACCACAACTTCACGCTATCCTTTACGTGTAAAACAAGTTACACTATTGTGCTTAAAAGCATTCAGGACAGCAAGGACAAACCAGATCCCAGGCAGGCAGAGAGCAAGGACAAGAGGAAAAGAGGCTCTGCCAAGAAGAAGGATATGAAGAACAGCAGAGCAGAGTAGAGATTCAGCCAGAGTAGAGAACGGGCCTCAATTCACAAGAGCCTCCCAGAGAAGAGAACAGCAGGCCAGACAGGCTCATGTACCAAGAAGGGCTAACCCAGAATAAATCATCACTGCCACATGAACAAGGCTGAGGCACCAGTGTAATGCTAAAAGCACTGATCTTATTTCCTCTTCAGGCATGCTCTGACTGCATCCAAATGTCAGCAATTACAGGACCAAGTGAATGAAAAGTCCAGAATGCACCAAACTTGAAAAAGCTTCACAGTTTTAGATAGCTAAACAAAACCTTTCAGCACAAAAAGTCCTGTCTCACCATGCAGATTTCTGTTGCAACCAAGTAACTGAGCCTGTTAAACCACTCCACATAGGCTTCAAGATTCCGAGTCTTCTTTCGATCTCCATAGCAGCTCTACAGACAGAAATAAAATAGCAACTTTTAGCACAATTTTTATCTTTTCCCTGGGAGAGCTGACTTTCTGCCTTGCCATTCCCAAACATTGTCAAGTAACCAGGAATAAATCAAATTACCCAAAGTGACAAAAAGCTTAGAGGGAAAGCAGCACTGGTAGTATTCAAGCATTTGTAACTTCCTTCTGAGCTGTCAGCCCAGTAAAACACTCTAGCAGGCACATGGAATGCTTTAAGTCCTACTGGGACTCTTTAAGCACCTAGGACAGACTTATGCAAACAGGGATAAATATCTGCACAAAGCTCCCCTGAATATGCACACTGTTTCAGTCCTTACTCCTGTCCCTCTGCTAGAGTAGATAAAACATTAGGCTCTCTGCAAGTGCAGCAGGAAAACAGAGGTCAGACACATTATGTCTGGCTGTTGGACATACTGCATCCTAAATTTGGGAGATCAGTTCTACCATTTTGATGGGATTACTCCTTTCCTGAGCAGTGCTATGCTGTATCATCTTGGAATCATTCCCACACCACATCTCAGGGTTGCCTAAAAAGGGGTAGACAGCAGTTTCAGTGATCTCTATTTGGAGAAACTATTTCAGAGACCATCTGACTGAACATCAAATTGTAAATAAACCTGCATCATTATATTCTATTTGTCAGTTTAAAGTTAATTCCAGCTTTAATGGACTGACTCTGTCACAGTATATTTACTGTGGTTAAGTCATCTTGAAAAACATAAAACATTAAATCATTTTGAAAACAGCACTCAAAGTGATGAGAACTCCATCATGGCTGGTTAAAATCTCACATAGATCCAGAGCCCTCTGTGTTCTTTTTGTTATGTCTATTTGCTCTACCTGCAAATTCCCTCACTAAAAGGGAAGAACAGATGTCAAAAATGAATAATGCAAAAGGCAAAGTTAAACTCAACTTCTTCCAGCTGTAGGCTGCATAAATGGCCTGGGGAAAACATTCACAGGATTAAATTCTCCCTTAACTTAAGTCAGAAAACCCAGGAAATGTGTTCATTTAATGTGTTAATTTAATTTGTTGGCTGAGTTCTCAAGCTTCAGGAGTTGTACTCCAGAAAGAAAAAAAAAAATTAACAAAATGTTTAAGGGGAATATTAAAGCTTGTTTTCTACTGGTCCTCATTTATTGCTGGACTTCACTTCCANGCTTCCCTAGAAGTTGTAGAGCTACATAGCTAATATCTTTATATAGCAGGTGTGTTTACTACCAGAGCCTTGATTTTTATTACTTTATATTTTTTAAATAACTTAAAATAATAATGAGTTTGCCTGCCAGCAGCCAACTCAAAAACACATTGGAAAAAGAGAAAAATCCCAGCCACCATTACAGTGGTAGGGAGAAATTCTCCTCAGCAGCCAATTTTTGTGTCCAGTCCTTTCCCTTCTTAGCAATCCCAAAGTTCTGGGATATATTCAGCTTATTAGGAATGAGAGCCCTCCAATGCAGACTTGGGTTTCACTGAAAGGAATGGTGAACATTTCCCCTCTGTAGCCTCCTGTGAGTCCTTGTAGCAGCAAGCTGCAGCAAAAGGAAAGGAAAGAATATTCCATCCAGGTGTGAAATGATTCATAGGCAGTATCTGAGATCTTCAAAGGATTCTCAATCAATACTTCAGCCTGAATCCCAGATGAGTGGGCTGTGATTTTATCTCATCTGTCAGATGAGAGAAGCTGCCTGTTTGTTCTTGAATTAACTCCTTTCATCTTTGCTGCCACAATATTGCGACTGACTGCACATCTTTCATCACTCTGAGTGCCACTCAGTGCACAGAAAAATAAACCAAGCCATGGCCTTTGGCAATCCACGTAACACAGCAACAGCAGACATGGCGTGCTCTAGACTCTGCCCAGAAGCGCTGATCTGAAAGGCAGAGGGAATGCAAATGGGTAAAGACAATCACTAGAATGATGTAAATCTTCTCACAGTGACTATGAGAAGGAAGCTGTGAAACTGAGATTCCAGTTACTACAGGTTTTCATCTTGTCACCCTGTGTAATGTGGAATGTCTGTGCCCTGATGTAACTCTCTTCCTGTCTTCTCAAAATGAGTGGAATCAATCAGGTGGAATTGTTACATCCCCCGCCTCAATGGTTCATGTATTCTTCCATGATTAGTAAAATCAAAGAGCTGGTGAGGCTGCAGTCTAATAGCAGTAGAAGAAAAGCCAAAAATATGACTTTGTTGAATATTTTCCCCCAGCCTGAACTCTAAATTGTTAACTGGTTTCATTGATGCATTTGCCCCAAAGTGATCTTTAGGCAAACCTCAGCCTTGTCTGGAAGGCTGATGCAGAAAGGGCTGCAGAAGCTGTGAAAACATCTGTGTGGAATCCAGAGTGCTCTGTAGAGAACTTGTGAGGAAGTGGGGATTTCTTGGAGTTTAAAAAGTACTTTCTTCCTTCACTGAGTAACACGAGAAATTAAAATACAAAATTACTTATTCTAATTCCCATTTCCTAAGGGAAAGAAGAACCAAGAGGGTTTAAGATAAAGACTGATTGTTCTATTTTTTCCAAGAGTCCAAGAGATTGGGAGGGGTTCTGGGGATTTACAACCATGCTGTAGCCCATATGTTGAAACATGTAACACACCATTTGGTTTTAACTGCTTGATGCTTGCTCTGTATCCCATTCTATTTATTTATTGATCTGGGTAACCTCTGACACAAACCTTAGTGTCTTCCATCTGTCCTTTTCAATGTGGTTCTCAGGACCTTCACTTTCATAGGAAGCCAAGTAAAGTGCTGCAATCAGAAGCAAATACATTATGTTAGGCCTACTGGCATTTTAGAATTTGCTCTCCCTGCAAAGCAGACTGAGTTAAATGAAGCAGGCATGTATTATCCATCCCTCAGTTAAGGGCTTCAGAATCCCATTAGGAAGTATAGCATTGCTTATAATTGCACCCAGACAATGCTAACAAACTGTGCATGAGAACAAAGACTACCCTGAGGGGAGAAAAAAGCAACCAGTGGAAACTCAAAAGCATGAGGAGAAGAAAGCACTCAGGAGAAAACAAAATGAGCCCAGAGACATGGTGCTTTGTAAGTAGCCAGTGAAGTCCCTATTTTCTTCCTTAAGCATCACCCTTTAGTGCAAAGCATCCTGAAAGTCACATAAATACATTTCATGTGACATTTACAGGGACCACATCAATTTAATTCATTATATTTCAGAACCAATGTTGATTCTCACAGACTATATGCACACAAAAGAAAAACCTTATCTTCTCTGTCATTTGTGAGGGAGGAACATTTTTCACTTGCCAGAGATGTCCTCAGGATATCTTTCCTTACTGTGAGGAAGCCACAAATTAGAAGAGACTGAGCAGTAGCCAGTGACACTATCCCTGCAGAAGTCCAGAGCTCCTTACCATCATCACTGAAGACTGGGACAGAGAGCAAGTACTGTAGAATTTTCCAATCCCTTTCAAAAGGGCACTCCACTTGCTTCCATGTCATAAATTCACTGACTTGTTTTGCCAATTCCCAAAATTTCTGTCAGAATACAAAGCAGAAGAGGTGCTATATATTGAACAGCATTACTTACCCTGAACATTTCTTTAAAAAGAGGGAGAGATCTTAGTTTGGAGACCAAGGCTTTGATTGCCCTTGGCTCTTAAAATAGAATTGAATATGATCTAACTCAACAGCTCAGCTCCTAACTTTTGTGTTCCTGTTTTAAGCTATGGTAACTTCCCACTCCTTCACCTTGTTAAAATTGCTGTTGTGAATATAAATATAGTAGATTATGAAGTGCACTTAATTTTTTTTTCAAGGTGCTGGTAACACTCCTTATGCCCAAATTTTAACTTCATTGATGCTTATGCTTTTTGTTTTGCAATTAAATACATAGTGATTTTCACATCAGATGCTTAATACTGACATTTCAAAATCCAGATGTTTCCTGTCAGTTAGCAAATATGAAATGCTCTATTTTCTTGCTGGAAATGTATGCCAAAAATAAACACTCCCCATGTAGTGTGCTGATGCCATTAATTGATAAACTCTTTCAGTTAAAGCTTAACATGACACAAGTGCACATGGATTCCTTGAGCAAAAGGGCATTTCACAGCTTAGTTTTAGAACCTTTAGGCTAATTCAGGCCTGTGACTACCACCGAAATATACTGTACTTTTGTGTGTATGACCCAGGCTTCTTGAAAACTGAAAGTACCAGGCAACAATCACTGGGTAACTCACCATGTGCCAGGTAACAAGCATGAAATCAGAGGCAGAAAAACTACTGGAAGACAAGAGAGTCAAAACTCCCTTGCTGCTGCTCTATCCCATATTTCTTCAGAGACAATCTGGAACTCGCATGAAAATGCCGTCTATATATCTTGATAAAGGAGGAACTTGCTTTTTATGTGAGGAATTAAAAGATAATACCCTAAAATACTAATCTGAACATTTTGTCATTAATTATAACAAACCTGTGAATTGAAATGTTGAGATGAATTTGAGCACTGGGAAGAAGTTCTGACTTTCCCCCCACCCCCACTAAAAAAAACTGGGAATATTGAAAGTTTCTATAAACACTCCATGTTCGATAAAATTGCTTTTTCCTGACTACTTCCCAGGTCCTCTGACCAATAACAAATATTCTCAAATTCCAGTCTATGTGTGCTCTCCCAGAATCCAGTGGAAATTGGATTGTGATCTGCTTCAGTTTTCTGTTAAAGGGGCTGACCCTGCATTAAACCCCCACTCAGTGCTCTACTTACCTCAAAATTGACGTGACCATTGGGAAGGCGATTGGCACAGCCCTCATTGAGGAAGTAAATATCTTTGATCAGGAGGCTGAAGAAAGGTATCACGATCTAGGGAGAGAGCAGCATTATTATCAGTCTGGTCCTGAATCAAGACACAATGGTCTACAGAGAAAAATGAAAGGAAGTCAGGTGATACAAAAGGTAAGCAAAATACAGAAGGACTAAGGATTCTACATCTTTACACAAAAACTTTAAAAAACAAGTCTCTTCACAAAGTCCTCCATTTCTATGTCATGTCCTTCTTGTTTTCATTTTTTTCCTTCTTCCTTGCAGATTCCAGAAGATAAATGGTCAGAGGCACCTACTTCTTACAAGTAATTCCTGCAGGGTACCTTGTAGTGTAGCTTTCCCTCTTGACAAGACTTGCTTGGTAAACAAGGGGAGATGCACATTGAAGCATGGCAGGGGATATTGGGGTGGCAGCACAAATGGTTTTCAAGCTACAATTCCCCGAGTTTATGCAAGTCATGGAACCTTGGTACTGACTGGCTTAAAATTAAGCATTTGCTGCCAAATGGACAAAGTATCTGAAGAATGCTGGAGAATTTTACTTTCTTAAAATGGTTCTATTTTAATTTACATCCTATGGAAGTTTTTACAGCTACAAATCCTTGTTACATGTGGGAATTAAAAAAAATACCACTTATTATTTCCATGGAACACTTCACTGCACCATATTTCAATATCTCTAAGTTCTTTCTTTGAAATCTTAAAAATGACTTCTCTTTAAAAATAAGTAAGCCTCTTACATTTAAACTTCTGGTGTTTTGAATGATATGTGAACAGATTCTTAGGACTCAGAAAGACATTCAATGTATAACAACAGTGTAGATCAGCAGACTGCATGTGGTTTTGCTTCATCTGCCTGGTAGTTTGTTCCATGAACTCCAAGATCAGGAGTTGATGAGCAACTGCTTCCAAGTGGAGAGCAGTTAGGAAGCTATTTCATTCCTTTCCACAAGAACTACCACTGAGATTCTGCATCTAAAGACTAAATACAGGAAGGGAACGCCACAGCTCTATCTAGATCTGAGGTTTGGAATACCTTTTATGAGTAAGTTTTAAAACCTTTCCACCTTAAGCCACGAATTACTGAAAGTTTAGCAGAAGTAGCAGCTATAAGAACAAATTACTAGCAATCTCATGTCAATCCTTAGCCTTTCTGTTTGTGGTATGGGTTTGTGAGATAGAGGTGTCTGTCAAACAGAAATGAGCTGAGGCAACGTCCTTCTTTTTCTTAAATAATAAAAGTGATCATTTAACGTTTAGACTTTCAGTCAGCACCAAACTGATCTGGCAGCTTTTTATAAGCCTGCCAGGGGTAGAGTTGCTGACAATCAGAATTCCAGGATAAAGTTTTACCATGCAACATAACAAGCACATTTGCCTTTTGCCCACTGCCAAGTCATTTGCAAACACACCTTCTCCCTGTTGCTGTGAGCTGTCAGGGACCTCTGAGTGGCTCCACGCAGAGCAGTTCGGTAATTATAAAAATTGCTGGAAGGGTCCATCTGATGCTGCAAGGCATGAAAATATGCAAATAATGAGGTACACACAATCCTTTTTCAACTGAGCAACTCTTAAATAGGAAAAGGTCTTCTGAACAGCCCCACAAATGCAGCTTTGTAGAGGACTGTGGTATTGCTCTGTCTGTTGGTTTGGTCAGAAGAGAACCTTATTTTTAAAAATGTCCATTCAGCACAACAAGGGACCCAATACATTCTCTTGGACAAATAACAAACTCATATAATGTTGCACCTGCATGACCTTTGACAAAGGTCAGCTGGACAAAATCTATTAAAAGCACAAATATACTATATTAAATGTCATAATGAAGTCAAACTCACATTTTTGAGCAGTTAAAAGTATCATGGTATTAACTGCCTCCTGTCCAAATATTAGCCAGACTTACCTCAAGGATATCAAATTTGGCTGTCTTCACTTTTGCCCAGGTTTTCTTTAATCGAGACACAGGACTCATGTTCATGCCAGCTTGATATAAAAGAAAGAATATTTAAAAGAGAGATCTTTCAGGTAGTTTGGACCAGTAAGTATTTAGAAAGCAAAGAATCTATTTATTACCAATAACAAGTATTTTCAATGAAGCTACTCAAGAAATCAGAGTCACTGTTTTCTTTAAATTCCAAAATAACCTTGGAAACAAAATCTTCATCTCTTGCAGAATGAAAGCTCTAAAAAAATGCTATGACATTATTTAATGTGGATTTGATAAAACACATATGTACAACAGAAAAGTTAAAATGAGTGTTCTGAACACCATCTCTTACATAATTCATTGAAAAAACTAGACCTAACTATGAAGTTTTCACCTTTCAAATGAAAAAAAAAAAATTCCCAGTATTTTCCTACCAGATATAGAGGTATGGAATTTTTAAACCACTAGGATGTGACAGAAATGATGGAAGACATTTCAATTCTCCATATTACAGGGAAAGCTAATATTCCAATTTAGCGCTGAAGTTGGTTTAAAAAAGTGGGGATTGAGGTCTCTGAAGAGTTGCAAAGAAAACTTTGGTTTATACGAACTTTATAGTACACAGATAGCACTACAACAGTGTCGAGCAGCTTCATGGTGCTGACCAAGCTCAGCAGTGGATTTCTGTGTGAAGCACTCTGCTTCCTTTATCCAGATTAAAACAGGGATAAAATAATATCTCAGTACACATACTTACAAATAATAGCCATTAAGGAATTGAAGTTGCCAATGTTAAAACATTCCCGTGCCACATCGATGAAATATTCTATCACTCTTGCTCTGTACTTCTTCTTCACAGGCTGCAAGAGATGCAATTGTAGGGTTATGCTCAGCAGGAAACAGCACTCAGACACGTCCCCAAAGAAATAAGACCCCTGTTAAAAGTCTTTTCCATATGTACCACAACTTCACGCTATCCTTTACGTGTAAAACAAGTTACACTATTGTGCTTAAAAGCATTCAGGACAGCAAGGACAAACCAGATCCCAGGCAGGCAGAGAGCAAGGACAAGAGGAAAAGAGGCTCTGCCAAGAAGAAGGATATGAAGAACAGCAGAGTAGAGTAGAGGTTCAGCCAGAGTAGAGAATGGGCCTCAATTCACAAGGGCCTCCCAGAGAAGAGAACAGCAGGCCAGACAGGCTCATGTACCAAGAAGGGCTAACCCAGAATAAATCATCACTGCCACATGAACAAGGCTGAGGCACCAGTGTAATGCTAAAAGCACTGATCTTATTTCCTCTTCAGGCATGCTCTGACTGCATCCAAATGTCAGCAATTACAGGACCAAGTGAATGAAAAGTCCAGAATGCACCAAACTTGAAAAAGCTTCACAGTTTTAGATAGCTAAACAAAACCTTTCAGCACAAAAAGTCCTGTCTCACCATGCAGATTTCTGTTGCAACCAAGTAACTGAGCCTGTTAAACCACTCCACATAGGCTTCAAGATTCCGAGTCTTCTTTCGATCTCCATAGCAGCTCTACAGACAGAAATAAAATAGCAACTTTTAGCACAATTTTTATCTTTTCCCTGGGAGAGCTGACTTTCTGCCTTGCCATTCCCAAACATTGTCAAGTAACCAGGAATAAATCAAATTACCCAAAGTGACAAAAAGCTTAGAGGGAAAGCAGCACTGGTAGTATTCAAGCATTTGTAACTTCCTTCTGAGCTGTCAGCCCAGTAAAACACTCTAGCAGGCACATGGAATGCTTTAAGTCCTACTGGGACTCTTTAAGCACCTAGGACAGACTTATGCAAACAGGGATAAATATCTGCACAAAGCTCCCCTGAATATGCACACTGTTTCAGTCCTTACTCCTGTCCCTCTGCTAGAGTAGATAAAACATTAGGCTCTCTGCAAGTGCAGCAGGAAAACAGAGGTCAGACACATTATGTCTGGCTGTTGGACATACTGCATCCTAAATTTGGGAGATCAGTTCTACCATTTTGATGGGATTACTCCTTTCCTGAGCAGTGCTATGCTGTATCATCTTGGAATCATTCCCACACCACATCTCAGGGTTGCCTAAAAAGGGGTAGACAGCAGTTTCAGTGATCTCTATTTGGAGAAACTATTTCAGAGACCATCTGACTGAACATCAAATTGTAAATAAACCTGCATCATTATATTCTATTTGTCAGTTTAAAGTTAATTCCAGCTTTAATGGACTGACTCTGTCACAGTATATTTACTGTGGTTAAGTCATCTTGAAAAACATAAAACATTAAATCATTTTGAAAACAGCACTCAAAGTGATGAGAACTCCATCATGGCTGGTTAAAATCTCACATAGATCCAGAGCCCTCTGTGTTCTTTTTGTTATGTCTATTTGCTCTACCTGCAAATTCCCTCACTAAAAGGGAAGAACAGATGTCAAAAATGAATAATGCAAAAGGCAAAGTTAAACTCAACTTCTTCCAGCTGTAGGCTGCATAAATGGCCTGGGGAAAACATTCACAGGATTAAATTCTCCCTTAACTTAAGTCAGAAAACCCAGGAAATGTGTTCATTTAATGTGTTAATTTAATTTGTTGGCTGAGTTCTCAAGCTTCAGGAGTTGTACTCCAGAAAGAAAAAAAAAAATTAACAAAATGTTTAAGGGGAATATTAAAGCTTGTTTTCTACTGGTCCTCATTTATTGCTGGACTTCACTTCCAGCTTATGGTGCACCTGATGGTAAATGATGCATTTCAGTGCTGCTCCAGATCTGCTCCCATTACCTTGCCATTATTCAGAGGATCCTTCTGCACAAAAGCCTGGATAAATTCTTCTGGTCCAATATAATTGAGTCTCTCCTAAATAAAGCACAGAAGCAGCCAAGTCATATCCCCTGTTAACCTTCATTTCAAAAAGAGGGGAAGGATGAAGTCATCCCTGGGAACGTAACAACTCACAAGCTCTATGTGTGTCAGCTGCTGAGCTAACACATAGGGATCATTGCAGACTGTGATTATGTCCCTCTGGATGGACTGGGGCTTGGTCTTTAGGAGCATGAGGCGATCTGTGGATGTGGTGGCATCAATTTTTGCAAGCACCTCCTCGTACTGGGTAACCGCAGCCAGCTTCCGAATCAGGGTCTGGAGGAGCTGCTGCACGTTCTTCCGGTACATCTGTTTTAACACCAAACAATCAGAAAACACTTCCAAAATGTGAGAAGACAGCATTACAGTCTGCATGTCACTGCAACAGATGGATGCTGATACCTGTCAGATACCTTGTTGTTAAGGTAAACTCTATTATGTGAATTTGTAATATTAGCATTTCATCAGACCAATAGGAATCCAGCTGAGGGTTTAAGCAGTGATTGTTTCACAGGCTCAGTATTGCCCTAGTTAGCTCAAAGAACAGATGTGTTCAATCCACTCCCTGAAAAATACCAACCACCACTGGAGGAAACACAAAAAATGAAAATACTCCATCTTCTCCTGCTTAAGACCACAGAAAAAAACAAATATGTGGCCATTCAGTGATAAACAAAGGGCCCGCTTCTCTCTGCAGCAAATCACAACCAGTTTCACCAAAGTGAGAACTCAAACTTGCAGTGAATCTGAGAAAAAGGAGAAGATAACAAAACCATTTCTTTCATCTTTCAACTTTGCAGGCCTTTCCATGTAGTGATTTAAGTTATCAGAGTGACAATTTAAAGTAGGAGCAGAACTCAACTCTTAAGTAGACAGATCTGTGTAACCAAGGTGGCTACTCTTCCAGATTCCACATATTATCCTAAAGCCATTAAAGTAAAACCTAAGTGGCTTCAAAAAGGATCATCCAAAAACTATTGTGTGCACACTATAGTATGATCAGTGCAAGGTGGCAGTATCCTTTATTATGATGATTTGTCCTTTTCTCCAAAGATTTTTTCCAAATATGTTGTTTTAAAGGAGTGATATGTTAGCATGGTGAGAGATTTTGGTTGTATTCTTACTACCAGCTCTTAAAAGAACAGGAGTACAATAATTCAGGAAGTGGAATAAGGAGCTATAAGTAGAAGTGTAGTGAACAGGAGTAGGAAACTGCTTCTTTTGTATCCTTTAAGGTAATGACTCACAAAAATCCAAGTGATCTGTAGAAAAGCAAGGTCATGGAAGTTGCCATTTACTGTTCCAAGCAGTTCACAATAAAACAAGTCAATTTACTGTAGTGCTTGCTTTAACTTTGTCTTTCTAAGGGAACATCAAAGTAATAAAACCCCTCAAAGCTACAGCTAGAATGGATTTATAGTTCTCTGAGTAAGATTGTTCCCTTTGCAGAGTTTCTAGCAGCTTTGTACATCTGCCTTTCTCTTCAATAGACATTTTCTCTCTTTAAACTGTCTGTAGTGCCAGAAACTTCACTGCAGACAACCCTTCCCTCTTCTCATTTCATTCTTCCTTCCACCAACTCAACTTCCTCCAGGCTAAGTAGTTCTTTCTTTTTGTGCCAGTATTTTTCAAGTGGGTGTGAGCCCTCAATCACAACTGCTTTGCCTGGAACTAAACTTCAATTTCCTAGCTTGCTATGAAGAGTATCTAGAAACAAAGCAACCTGGCACTCCTGGAGTAAGGGCACACCTCTTGCCCAGTCCAAAGCTCCCTGGAGTGATCTTGCAACTTTCAGCTTGCATATCAAATTGTGTCTCTTCTTCATTTGTATTTCATACCACATTTCATTCTCTTTTCCCATCTTTTTCCATCCCTCCCCACTTTGACAACATCAAAATGTATTTCAGCTTCCAAGTTCAGTTTAGGTTTGCTCTTTTCCATGCTTGTGTACAGCCTCTCAAGGCCCTTCTAGGCCTTTGGCAGCAGCACTCTCAGCTTCTCTGAGTCCAGCTTACCTCCACGACTGTTAATGTGCTGTTTGCTGCCTCATCCACACCATTACTTAAAAGCTGATATAAGGAACACTGGTCCCTGAGGAACACTGAAATCATAATGCCATTTAGCAATTGCTATTTGTGGTTATAGTTCTTCCAAATGCCACTCCAGTGTTTTTTGCAATTGCAGTATTATGCCAGCTACACAGGATTTATTTACTAAAACCTTGTTAATTCCCTTCCACTAAGTAAATATAACCCTTGGCTTTTGGTCGAGTTTATTTCAGTACTTAAAAGACAAGCATTAGTTAAGCATCAGAATATTTCATAATACCCATGTGGAACTTCCATCTGAAAAGTGGGATTTCAAGAAAGGTCAGGTGATTTCCTTGTGTGCTCCATCCACAGGAAGGAATGGGACACACTTCCTCTGAGTTGATACTTTAAGCTCAAGACAATTCTTCCTGGTCTACTCCTCTTTTGGAAATTTCTCCCCAAACCTGCTATAACTTTTCCATTGAACCAATTCCAACACATCTTACTCAAGAAATTGTCAACATTGATAGGGGTTTCTCAGCTATTGTCCTAGCCAGCTTCTTCCAAGTAAAATGATAAATACTAACATCCACCAAATTGTGCCTATCTGCACAAAATGGGATTATGTTATAGGCTTAGAGCTGGAGAGAACCTTGCCCATGTTCTGGAGAAGATCTGCTTATGATGTGTGGTTTCATCCTAGGCTTAGGTACCAGACAGAACTTTTTGCCTACCAGCACCTTGCTAATAAGTTTTCCTAAGCACCTAGAGCCACATAATGTTATTAACAGAAATATCAAAACATCAATAGGAACACCAGTAACTGTGTGCAGACAACTTACCTCATCCCCACTGGCTATTCTTTGTGCCAGCTCCTTTAGGTTCCTCATCATTCTCTCATCTCGGAAATCATAAGGAAAAGTCTCTGTCCACTCAGTCAACAACTGTAGGATTTTTGGTGCAATTTTCTGGGTCCAGTTCTATTTGGAAACAGTAGGGAGGAATGTTACATGTAACAGCAATGCAGGAAATATCTAACTCAAAGGAAACAGAATTCTGCTCTGCAGGATACTGTACACCATAAGGGTATGAATGTCAGGTAAATGTTAATCTTAACTTCATTCAGCACTGGATTATAGGCCTGAGCCAATGGCCATGGAAGCCAATGAAGACACTCTCATTGGCTTAACTGACCTGGAAATTAGGCCTCAGTTGGGTGGAAATGAATCCCCTCATTACCAGGAGTGCCTCAGTGCAAGGCATTGATTAGTGTTTCCTTAACTTATGACTAACTCTCAACAAAGAAAGTTGTAAATTTCAGTTGTACCATAACCTCTGCATGCACTACACCTTATAGGGAGAAACCTGTAAAGAGACAGAGAAGGGCTAGTGAGGGGATGTGGTGGCCAGAGGCTGCCTTGGGCACAGTGACCACAAAATGATTTTTGATTCTCGGTGAAGTAAGGATGAGGGTCAACAAAACCTCTGCCCTGGACTTTCAGAGGGCAGATTTTGGTCTGTTCAGGACCCTGTTTCACAGATTCTCTTGTAAAACAAACAATGCAGCAGAAGCAGCAGCCGTTATAGAGGACAGGCTGAGCAGTGTGGAAATTCCCCGTGAATATCAGTGAATAAAATTGTAATTGCTTGCTTCACATTTTCAGACTGTTCTATCCCACTGAGGACCCTCTTGAATAGGAGCATTTTGGTTTGGGCAGGGACCTGGGAAGTCCCTGAGAGAGGGGGATCTTACCTTGTCCAGGCCAGGCTCACTGAGCCTCTGCTGCTCAGTGCAGAGGTGGCAGACTTTGGCCATGAGCTCGTACGGGTGCATGAAGAGGCGGGAGCTGAGAAGGAAGGTGAAGATGTATGTCCTCTGTCAACAAGAGGAAGACAGAGAAAGGCATAAATTACCAGTACTTTTTATATTTTCTCGAAATGCCTTCCTGATAAATCTGCTCCTCGTTTACTATCTGCAGAAGAAAACTCTACACGTGGCTGTGCCAAAAGCAATTACAAAAGAGGTAAGCATTTAATTTAACACTTATCATCGCTCTACAACCAGTACTATAAGTTTGTGCTTGAGCCAAGTTATGCAAGATTAAACCAAAACAAAGCAGGGCAAAGGTGGTTTAGCTCTCCTATTACACACAGCCTTATTGCAAGCTCATTACCTGAAATTACTCAGAATAAAATTTCAACTCAGCTTCTCCTGCTCTACAGTAAACCTTTGTATCCTGAGTGAAAGCAGAGGGAACTACATAGATTAATTTTACAGAATAAAAATCAGTAACTAAATCTGAGGTTACAAGAAGAGGCTCCTTATTTTGCTTTGATTTTCCATGTATCATGATTTGAACTCATTGTGAGATGGATATTCAGAATATCCATTCCACTTTCCACTTTCCCAGTAGTTAAGTATCTATGGCACCCAGTCTACAAAGACTCTATAATGTTCTGGCTCTAGAAACTTGGAATAAATCATCGTGTTTGACCCACCAGTGTCTAAATTGCTACATACTTGAAGTTTACACTAAGCATTAATGGATAAGCACTAGCTTAAGTACAGTTCTGTGCTGCTGTTAATTCTGACCCAAGTTAAAAAAGATCCTGTCTCAGAAATGTGAAAAGATTTATGACAATAACAGAAACTGAACATAAGCAGAGTTATGTCTTCAGCAGGAGTGTTGTCAACAAGCAGAGCTGCAGTTTCAACATCCACCAGTTACCCCCAACTGCTCTTTCTTGCCACTTTTGATACCATTCTTTTTTATATTTTTTTCTAAGAATTATAGAAAATGTCTCAATGTGTGGATGTGCCTACACAAGTCAAAAATTCTCAGATGACAAATCTCCTGTTGTCAAATCCAGCCTTTGCTGATCCTAAATAGTGTGGTAGTAGTTCAACATTTTGGTTGCTTATTGCAAGTACATGTCAACCTCATATGAACTATGGGAAATATGCATTAAAAACCAGTTGGTTTTGCAATAAATACTTTCATTCTGTCACAAAAGTGGTCATGCCTTTCTCATCAGCTTGCCTGGCAACATTTTTGAGGGTCAATGGTACACAGGATCCATCAAGCAATAAGCCAGTCTAGGTGTGTGCTTTATAAATGAGTCACCAGGGTTGCTCACCTTACAACGGGAGTAATAAAGCATTAGACTTCCTAGGCTGGGTGAGTTATTGCAGGATGCACTCAGGTAAAGCACATGTTATCACTGCTGGTCGGCCACCTGAACCCCTTCCTTAGCCATGGATGTGACACGTTCTGCTCTTACTGCATGTTTCCCTCCAGTAGGCACATCAAACCTGGCCATACAGTTAACTTACATCGGGATAGTAATCCACATTGGGTACTAAGTGCTGGATCAGAGCTTCCAGAGACCCCGACAGGAGATTATTGTCATGGTAATAGAGCCCTCCACAGCTGTCTTCTTTTGTCTGATACAGGTTCCTGTTGTAGCTGCTGCTGTCAAACATCGCTGCAAAGGGAGGTGTCTGTGGCATCTTGCCCTGAAGAGACACACAAAAGAGATAAGGGATAATTCAGGGAAGGTACAAGTAAGGGGTTTTCTATCTTCTAGAGATAATACAGCACTAGAAAAAACCTCAGTGTCATGCCATGGGTTACTTGCACACACTTGTACTGTTTTCAAGCCTGTGCAGACTCCTCACAAAAGGTCCAACACAGGCTTTCACCACTGTCTCTCACAATTGCCAGGTGCTTCTTTTATATCTTGCTGTTTCTTTGTTAAACGACAGATAAGATGTCCAGGCTAAGAGTTAGAAGGAGGTATAAAAATCCTGACAAGCTTCCAGAACTCAGACTTTCTATAAAGTTTTTGGGGATGTGGCATAATGTTCATTTTGGTCAAATCCTCAAAGTAGCTCCCTAAGAGCAGCACTCTGAAGGGGAAGCATGTTCAGGCTGCCCCAGGCTGACACACCCCCCCAGTGCCAGTGCAGAAGGAGAGAGACTGAAGTGAAGCCCTGAAAAGGTTATGTGAGAGGACAGCCTCCTTTATGCAACACAACAGCCATGTAGCTGCAGTCCCAAACCTCCCATTTCCCAACTCCACCCTGGTAAATTGGCACTTGGTTTTCCCCATAACACTGTGACAGGCGTGACCCAGGCTAAAGCCTGATGCTTCAGTGCATCTGCCTCCACCTACTCTCTGAGTGGCTCTACAGAAATTTGGAAAAACTTGCCTGGGCATAGTTGCTTACCACTGCTGTCCAAACTCACCAGTAATATAAAAGATGAGACTTGTTAAACCTTCTCCCAAAATCCTGTGAAAATGTGAAAAAATCCAGCCCTGTGCTTCCCAGCTTCAGGAAAAATAAAGCAATTACTCACTAGTCTGCACCTTAGTGCCTGTGGAATCAAAATGTCTTTCCAAGAAAAGATCAGTCAGTGCTGCAAGCTGTTTAGTCACTCATAGCAGTGGGTGGGCAGCAAGGGGGCCATGACCCCTTGAAGAAGAGCTCAGAAGAGCTCTCCCAGAAGAGCTCTTCTGGTAATGCAATATCTGAAAAGGCCAAAAGATAAAATCTCTGCTTGAGTGTTGAGTTATAAACTCCTTCCTTCTCCCTCCTTCCCTGCTTTCTGGGAGTAGCAGTTCTTGTCAGTTTAGGGAACTTAGGTTTTATAGCCAGTTTTAACCACAAACATGCTGGTGTTAACTCTACTGCAGCAGTTACTGGGCGCTGACGGGTACTCAGGGAGAGACAGATAAACTGCAAAAGGGAATGGCACTTTGTTTCCAATCCTCCCCAGAGCTTCAAGGCAAGGGAGATCAAACTGAGAGGACAATATCCACAGGCTGCTGTGCTCCTGTGACGACATGTGCATGAGAAAAGCATTAATGCCTCTGAGCCATCATTGTAAGAGCAGATGCTGTTTCTTTTCTCTCCATTGTATCCAATCCTATTCGGGAAAAGGCTCTTTAAAGCCACAGACCTCAGCGAACACCAGCCTGTGAAGGCACCCCGTTTTGAGAACAACTAGGGATGTGACAGCCTGGAGATAAATAGAGTGCTGCCATCTGTGTGCCCCCCAACCCACAATAAAGCACTTTTCAGAGTGAGCTCGGTGGAGATGAGAAGCTATTAAGTTATTAGCCAGATTCCTTAGCTTGGACCTGAAGCACCACACAGACTTGCTGCTGCTGCTGGCAGTGTGTCCACACAATGAAGACATTCAAACCAGCACAAGCCGGAGTGGTTCAGTAAATAAACAGTAAGAGAAAGCCAAAAACAAAGGCAGAGAAGGACAGTGGAGAGAGAGCCTCCTGGCCTACACGATCTGTGCTATTTCCACCTTGAGAGGTGCCAAAAGATATCTGCATCAAAATAGGAAAGACTGAAAAGTCTCAGTGTCTGAAAAGTGACATCAGACACTGTGCAGCTGTTCAACCAGCGTTTCAATTCCATTCAGCCCCATGAACTGGGAGAAGAATAAAGTAAATACACATGCCACAGTGTAAAGTGCAGGACTGAGCTTAACCGTGTTCCTGTACAAGGGAGTTCAAATTACTGGGCAGTGAGGTGCAACCCTACCATGGCCATGCTGTGCAGCAATAAAGCATCCTGATGTATAAAGACTCCTGGGCTTTCAGGTTCTTTGCAAGGCTAACCCAGTTTAAGGAACAGAACTTAACTGAGGAGCTTACAGGAACCTTCTGCAGCATCTCCTAGGTTTTCATACCGTGCATCCAAAGCCACAGACTTGAACCAGTTCCAAAATATTCTTCAGCCCACTGACACTGAAAGACGTCCTGAAAAAATTCAGAATTTTTTTCAGCTAGTTTAGTGCAGTTTATCCAGTCAAAGTGCAAGCAGTAGTGAACAGTGTGTAAACACTGCAGCCCACCAGACATTTGTAGCACTGTGGCTCCAAGGCAATACTCCACAGGGAAGTGAGAAAGCTAGTTTGCATCTGCAAAACAACTTGACATCAATATTGGCACTTGTAAAAAAACAAAGTGAGCAGTTGTTTCAACTCAGATCTCATATTAACCAAACCAGCCTAATTCAGGGTAAGACTGGGATCTGCAGGGGATTTAGCCAGACTAGCCAGCAATTAGCTTTCATTTAATGCAATCCTCACAACACAAATCAGACAGGTTGGAGACACAGTCTCCTAGAGCCTTATCAACAGAAAAGGAAAAAATCATCAGGCCATTAATAGAGGTACTGATTTGTAACTGTAAAATAAAATTCTCTAAAGTCTATCCCAAAGGGTACATACTGTCTCACTTGTTTGCTATCTATTTCTGGAAAGCTGCTTGACAGAGAGGGCTCAGTCCTGCTTCAGTGAGACAACAAGTTGTGGTGATGTTCTGTGTGGTTGGAACTGGGTTTCACTTGGAAGTGAGCAGGACACAGGACACATTCTCCAAGCGATGAAAAGGGCTGATAGCAAAGTGTGACAGAGATAAATATAGCATGGCCAACAGGATGATTCATACAACACATGTGCTTTTCCAGCATGACCCCTTTATTATCTTGACTTTGACTCCTCTGCTGTATTTTATTTGGAGGTGGAGACATAAAGCAGCCTGCTTAATTCTAGTTAGAAGCTTCTTTAGCTAAAGCTTCAGCCAAATTCTGCCTTCAGAATAACTTGAGTGGAACTGAAATTTGGTTACAGAGAAGATAATGGTCCACAAATCCGTGCCATATAGAGCAGAGGTATCTTGGAACCTAAAAATATTGTTGACAAAGCACAGCAGGGCAAGATCTGACGAGCAGGAATTGGGAAAAAAGACAAAAAATATAATTCCAGTGAAAAATGTTCTGGCAGTTAAAAACTGGAACTTTTAAACTGGGATTTGGAAACATTTGGCTAGCAATCACATGAAAACCCATTTATCTCTTCTCTCTTTCTTTTTTTCCAGGAATAAAAAGAGTGTTTTGTTGTTTTTTTTTTTTTTTTAATTAAAGATCTGACTTGAAGGAAAGACCAATGAAATAATTTCCTATCGTTACCAGTGATGTTCTCTTGTGACAGAGAGAAGTCAAAAACTCTGCACTGTGGAAAGAGGAATACAACATTTTTTTCCTGTATTTAGTATCATTATGGAGAAGATGCAACCTTGGGCACTGAGGTCCATATTCCAGCTGCGAGTAGCCTCTGACAAGAAAGAAGCCTCAACCTTCCCAGTAACAGCACTGTAAATAGGAAGTCAGAGCCAAAGATGACGTGCTCAAACCCTCACCATCTCCTTCAGGAGCCAAGTTTCAGTTTGGCAAAACGTAAGGAATCAGATGTTGCTTCCAAGGCTGGCAAGTGCTTTTCCAAACCTTTATGTTAAAAAAAAAAAATCTGTTTTCTACTACAAACTCCCTATACAATCGAAACCCTTACCCACATTTAATAGGTGATTACCATCCACCATTGTTAATAAGGATGCCATCATAAAACTGAGGTATGGCAAAACAAAAGACTGACTTCCTGCAGGAGCAAAGCTCCAGAGAGGGCCCTCATTATCCCTTCTCCTTGTTTTGTTAGCAACATGCCTACCGAAGTCCTTCCTGTTGTCTTTGACATCTCTGACCAGACTCAATTCTAACTGGCCCTTAGCTTTCTTAACCTCATCCCTAACTTCCTGTACAGTTTCCCCAAATTCCTCCAGACCTATACCCCCTCCCCGTCTCCCCAGCCTATCTTCCATGAAAAGCCAGTAGCCTTCCATTCCAATGCATCAGCCACAGGAGCCACCCCACCACATCTCTGTGATGGCAGTGACATCACACCCATGCAGGCATGTGCATGTCTCTGATTCTTCTTGTTTGTTCCCCATACTACGTGTGTTTGTGTAGAGGTAGCTGAGCCAGGCCCTTGATAAAGCTGGAGCAGCTGGAATCCTTCTGCAGTGCTCAGGGCACCCACCCAGGCAGCCCAAAACAAAAGCATACCAGAAACAGAGGCCGCCCATCGCATTCCACACAGCTCTTCCTGGTGTGTGTGCTTTGCTAACAAAGCTTTTTTTTTTCAGCACTGGAAGGTAAAGGGAAATTTTTACAGCTCAAGCTACTGAGAAGATAAGAAACCTGAAAAACTCCCAGATGGGTGTTTTGTGTATCTTATTTGCAGAAATTCACTATCCCAGCTCAAGCCTTCTTTGTGAAGAATTTGCCATACAATTCTCAGAGCATACATTCAGCACCAACTCTGAGTTATAGTTCCTTCCTAGAATTACTTATTACACGCATCTTTTAAAAGGCAGAGTACAGAATATTTTTTCATACTCACATAGGAGACGAAAAGGGAAGTGATATCGGCTTTTTCCAGACAGAAATCAAGAGGAAGATTAAGAAACTCTCATAAGGAATCCACCCCCGAGGAAGAGGACCAAAACTATCCATGCTGGACAATGTCATAATAGTAGAAAATGCACCTTGCACAGTTGCTGGTAGGAGAAGAAAAGACCTGAGGTAGATGCAAGAAACCTGACTGAACCTTAAAGTACTATTTGGTTTTCACTAAAACAGCAGAGGATGAACAATTT